AAAAGAGCATTTCAGATGATGCTGGTACACTGGAACTGCTTCACAATGCGGACATTCCACGCAGGATGATCCTGTTCTTCACAGATTTGACTCATGGTACACAGCCAGCATTGGCTGGAGGTCAAGCATCGCATTCTTCGAACAGACTGGCCATGATTCATGCAAATCTCAGTCAACTTCGTGTCACTGTCAACGACCAGACGCTCTTTGACAACCCGCTCAAGTTCCAGTGGGATGTGAGTCGTAATACTGAAGGGCAATACTTCTACGATTACAACAACTCCTCCTACCTGCGTGGCTACAATCTGGTTCAAGACTTTTTCGGCAAGACGTATGGAACGCAAATCCCCATCACCGCTGCAGATTACTGCAATCACTACTTTATGGTGCCTATCAACTTGAATCTGGATCGGACCACAGACAATCCAAGATCGAGAGGAAATCTGTCCATCGACTATCAATTTAGCGACGTGACAAACGCCCCCGTGAGGAGACCTAGCGAAAATGGCGCCTCGATCAAAGTCAACCTTCTCTGCATGGACAAGTACTTGTACACCATGAGCAAAGATGAAGGTATCAAAGCCGAAGTTGTATGAATTAATTCCGACCTAGTAGTAAAAGGGCATCATGGAAGGTGGTGACCTGGAGACCAGACATCGTGTCTACGGTGGTGATTTGAAAACATCGAGTCGACAACACGGTGGATTCTTCTGGAAAAAGAGCTTCTGGAAAAACCTAATCGGTGCTGGACCGGATGAGATGGAAAAGCAGATGGCGGAACCCACGACAAAACAAGATGCAATGCAACGCGGTGGACTTGGACCCCTGGCTGCCATGGCAGGAATGACACTTCTTCCCATGCTTTTGGGGAGAGGAGAGTCCGGAGACATTGTGGAAGCGCAAATGAAAACAGCTTACAACCCTGCCATGCACCGAGGAGGTCTAGCCATTCCACCAGGATTAGCCGCCAAGGCCATACCACTCCTGACGAACCTGGCTGCTCCCTTGGCCATGGGTACCACGGCATCACTGGGTGACAACGTAATGGATAAAATATTCGGCAGAGGAGTAAGGAAGGGAAGCTCAGCAGGTGCCATGAAGCGCACTAAAAGTCGTCGTCGTCGGCATGCACCGAAGAAGATTCGTCAACGAGCATCTCGGAAAACCAAGAAGCCAGCTCGTCAAGTTCGCTCCAAAGGCCGCAGGGCACGAGGAATAAAGAAACAAGGAAGGGCCTTGTTCAAAAAACTAGGACATCGTGCCCTCGACGAAGCTTCATCGTTCCTGTCTGCACCTCGTAGATCCCTAACCCGTCCTGAAACTCCATTTGCTCAAAAAATTCGACAGAACATTAACAGTGCAGGACCGTCTTCTATGAGTTCCGCTCACATCGGTCCATCCTACAACATCTGATCATGGACTTTATCTCGCTCCTTGGACAGGAAATCGGGAGGAAGAAAAAGACTAGTCCCGTAAGGAACGACGATGTTCCGACCACGGCCACTGCTCGACACGGGCTGCACATTCCTGGTCTTCAGTTCGAGTCTAAGGATTGGTTCACGGAAATCATTCCTGCTCTGAAATCCTGGGGTCAAAACGTATTGTTTCTGGGACAGAGCAACATGGGTAAATCCTACTTTCTCATCAAGCTCCTGAAACGTGTGCAACCTGAGCGTATAGTTGTCATCTCCAACACGCCGGCCGATCAGTATCGTCTCCCAAGCCTCAAATCCTTCAAGCATTACAGCACCATGCCCGAGTGTATCGAAGACATGGATCTCCAGCCTAACACCTATGTGATCATTGATGACATCAGAGTGATGGGTTTGAAGCACGGCAGCCAAAGAGAGTGTCTCTACAAGTTCTTCACCATGTACAGTCATCATCATAAGTTGAACGTGTTCTTTCTCTCTCAGAGCTTTGATAACATTAAGGACATGAAGATCAATGCAAACTTTATGTATCTATTTCGCTTCACTGATAAAAGCAATATCAAGCGTTATCTCAATACTCTGTTTGGTGGTCTGTGCACGAAGTCATCCATTATCTTTAGATTGTATGAGAAGTTATTGGCGGTGTGTCGCAGACCTATCCTAACCATTGATTGCTCTTCTAATCAGTACTGCACGTATTGCGAAGACACTGCATTAAAGGTGACTTTTGAATAAAAACCTCGTTGATGTGCGTGTTTAGCCGAAAAGTTAGCCGAAAAGTTAGCCGAAAAGTTAGCCGAAAAGTTAGCCGAAAAGTTAGCCGAAACATTGAAAAAAATTCCAATAATGAATAAGAATGGAGCATCTTACGGTGAAATTCTCAAATGGGCTACCGAGCAGTATACAGAGGGTGGGGTCCAGAAAGGGATCCTTCTCGATACCCAAGCGTAAAAGGTTGCAAACCTTGCAGTTTATGTCGAAACATCCTCAACACATCCTCAAGAAGAGAGTAAATTCGTGGGAAGTTCTCGGTATACCACCACTCATGCGGCAAAAAGGAGGTAATAACTACAATACCTACTTGAAAAGCGTCAAGAAAGTTCTTTCCCAAGTGCCAGATCACAGTTTGAGCACCTCCACCCTGTTGGAACTGCAAGCTGATCCGCGAGTAAAGCGTCTATATGACACCCACTTCAAAAACAATCCCGATCACATCAGCTACCCGTCTGTGAGAAATGTGATTGCATCCAACATACTCAACTATGATTCCACTACCGATCAAGTTCGCGATTCCGTTGCAGATGTCAGGAAGAAGAGAAAGGCATCTTTAACATCAGTGCCTTTCAATCTATTACAAGACCACGAATTTGACCGATGGATCCTACAAATCCTGGACAGTTTCCTCCGACATACAAATATACCGGCAACCTTTTTGAAGAGCAACTATTTCACAAGCCGATCACAACTGCTGCAACTCTACGATGAAGATCGACTGAGGTTCAGGAGTCGGGTGGAAGCGGCTGCGGATGCCCTGAAGACGCAGACGATGAACGACTACACTACTCTGGTCAACGAGACGAATCGCATCTACATGTCCAGGTACCCGTTTGCAACCATAGCGGGTGCGGTGGGAATCCACAAACATGTCGATGGATTCCTTCGATCAGAACGAAAGATTCATGAACTAGCCACCCTAGTGCTAGCTGTACCAGGATCGCAGCTCAAGTTTCAAGATCTCAACGATATGACTTCTACGTATGGTAGAACAACTGAAGCAAAATTGATCCATCCCGAGCATTTCATGATCAGAGCACAAAAGGTGATGGTGGACGATGCATCATTCATTCAAGAGGTTCTGAAGGATAAAAGCAGGATCACTCGTATCATCAAGGATATCCTGAGTGGACGTTCAATGTGATCACGCGCGCGAAAATTTTCAGGCTATGATCAAGAATGGACTACCCTCTCAGCAGTGCCGACATCAAAGGAAGATTGAATGGTGTTGGAGGGTTCGTGGGGTGTACAAGTTACGACCTCTTACCACCCTTGAACAATGGAGACTTTTGTATCGTCAACACCGACAACGTTCTACCGGTGTACGATGCACCGGAAGGTGGACATCATTGGTTGACCGTGTGTCGCGAGCAAAACGTGATCCTGGTTTTTGACAGTTTCGGACGCAGTCTATACACTATGGAGCAAGATTACACTGAACCTGCACTGTGCGATTTCTTTAAAGAAGCCTATGCAGACTGTAAGATCATCACCAACACCCAAGCCGTTCAAGACAGAAGCACAGCAGTATGTGGATGGTATGCCATATTGATGGGAAAGCTATTTTCCAAATATGGTCTGGATGAAGCACTTCGAATTTTCCGAAGAGTCTTCGATGAGGATGAAAAGCTGGAAAACGATCAACTGGTTCTCAGTTTAGGTGCCTTGCGAGGTGGTGGAGCCTTGTGGGATACGAAAGTGCAAAAAGCACTTCATGATGGAAGACAGAAGAAGAAGTCGCAGTCCACACCATTCCACACGCAACTGGCTAACGAATTGCACAAACCCAGACGAGTGCATTTCAAAAGACGCAAGGTGAAGAGCAGGTCTGTGGATCACATCTGGAGTGCCGATCTAGTGGATATGCAACGGTTTGCCCGAAGCAACAAGAACTACAAATTCCTGCTGACCGTCATCGATCTGTACAGTCGCTATGCCTGGGCAGTACCCCTGAAAACCAAAACTGGCTCTGCTGTCAGGGATGCATTCGACCTGATCCTGAAAACATCGAACAGAGTACCACAAAAACTATGGGTAGACGAAGGCAAGGAGTTCTACAATGCAACAATGAAGCAATGGGTCAAGGATCACAACATCATCATGTACAGCACCCACAACGAAGGAAAAGCCGTGGTGGTGGAACGCTTCAATAGAACACTGAAAGGCAGAATGTGGCGCCATTTCACGGAGAAAGCTACGACACAGTATCTTGACGTCCTTCCTCAGCTTATGGCCAAGTACAACAGCTCGAAACATCGCAGTATCGGCGTGAGTCCCACGAAAGCTTCTCTTGATGGAAAACCAAAAGATGCAGACGTACACTCGAAGCAATCACCAGCTAAATTCAAAGTGGGCGATGATGTGCGTTTGGCTGTGGCTAAACGTCATTTCGAGAAAGGGTACACGCCCAACTGGACAGAGGAAGTGTTCATGATAAACGATGTCCTACCCACTGTACCCCACACCTATCGTGTTCAAGACCTGATGGGAGAAGTCATTCAAGGACAGTTCTATGGAGCTGAGCTACAACATGCCAGACACACAGGATTGAGATTCGATAAGGTGTTGAAATACAACAAGAACAGTCGGCTCGTCAAATGGAAGGGTTATCAAGACGAAAAATTCCATACCTGGTTAACAAAGAAGGATGTGAATGATCTCAAAAAGAATTAGCATTTCATATGTACAATGTAGCTCATGCTTTGGATTAACGTGAATATTATGAATCGCATAGTATTTACAATGTATTTCATGAGAAGATATGACATATGCTCTAGTATGTGTGGAAATCCATCAGTGCTTTGGAATATCCTTGTGTCCGAATGCCAGGGTGTTGATACCATCCTCCAGAATGTAGCGCTTACTGTCGAATCCACTGAGGGCAATCTTGTGTAGGTCCTCTCCGTGAATGCAATGTCGTCGACTTCGAAGAACATTCATTGTTCTCTTCAGCTGAGACTCCTCGACGAGACATGTTCGATAATCATCGACGGTTATGGTGTTTTTCAACACGCTTCTCTGCACACCTTTGGCACGCTTGCCATTGTCGTCGTTGTCTTCACAGCGGTATGCGTACATCTTGCTCCGCAAACCAATGAACTCCTTGATGGGTTTGCCACCTAGTTCGCCCTTGAACTTCCCTACCACCTTCTTGTTGACCGTGCTGTACAGGTGGTGGGATGGTGAATAGTTGGATGTGTCATAGGCTGTTATGTTGTTTGACATATCCGTGTACAGATCATCCGTTTGAATATGTACGATCAGACTATCAGTATCAGTGTAGAGCAAACGTACATTTTGTCCATAGCGGGGTAGGAGAACTTCATAGTAAAAGGAATACATCAAGTGCTTCGACAGATCGAGGATGGCTGTACCCACATAAATAGGTTTATTGAGAGTCACCTTTGTCCTGGCAAACTCGATTGCTATCAGATCGTTCTCAAAGGTTACACTGCGGATGTACGAAGGTTTGTTGATGCTTTTCTGGAGACGTGGTTTTTCATCCTGTTCACGAATGAGCTTGATGTTTACTCTGTTTCGAACGTTTTCCATGGTCTTGCCATATACAGCATTGTTCATCAACTACGATAAACAGGCATACAAAGAAAAGACAAGAAAAACAACAATAAGAAAACTGTTATCTTCAGGTCATTCACACTTCCAGTACATACTAGATCCCACACCATCGCTAAATACACACACACACACACACACACACACACACACACACACACACACACACACATGATGTGGAGTACCCACCTTATAGAAGTCTTTCTCGAAATCAGAAGTTGATAGCTTTCTCAGGTCAGTATTAGTGTCGATGTATGGCTTCATCCACGGGTGTTGTGTGAAGGAGAGCACACGATGCACATCTGTAATTTCCACGCCCAAGGACACGTACTGCTGCAAGTTTCTGTAGTGCAGAACATAGTGCTCTTTCACCAGTAGATTTGGTACCAGTTTCTTCGCTTCCAACCCGGTCACCTACAAGAGTACAGTATAGATATACACAAACCTTAGAAGATTAATACAAGCATATCCACCGGATAGACCATGACTTACCATTAGTTTCTCTGCCATGTGGGTCTGATATGGAGAAAGCATATCTCGTGTCACCTTCATCTGCTCAGGAGCCAACGGATAATCATTCATCATGTCATGCACACCATCTGGAATCCTTAAATCGCACTCCACCATGTATCCCGTCGAAGAGTCCATTGGATGATCGAGTACCGTCTCCAGAAGGTCATCCGTCACTGCTTCAAAGCAGAAGTCCGACACGGGCAAGGGTTGAGACATGGCCCATCCATATAGATTGTTCGCATCTAAATATTGGATGAAGCTTGACGGCTCGTCTGGATTGTACTCCGATAGATATCTGTTGTTGGCGGTGGCGTGTCTAGCGGACACCATGCTTATGCCACCTCTTTTGCCATGCTCAATGAAGTTGAACATGTCAATGTCGGAAATGAGATGAAGGGACACCTTCGTCATTTTCAGCAGCGAATCCCAGGCAAATCCCGGTAAGGTGAGGTAATTAGCGGGATCCAATCCATAGGTTGCGTGAGCAGTTCTTCTGAAGTTTTCGAAAACGTCAGCCAACAGCAGCACATCAGTCTCCAGGTAGAGGTCGTGATAGTCTCCTAGATCTTCACAGTCAAACGCAGTCCATACTGTTTGCGCATAGGCATAGTCTTCATCACTGATACCCTAGGGAATAGAAAATGTACACCAAAAAGAAAAACAAATCAACGAACTTATTTTAGTAGTTCGCCCACACAATCAATTATTTAGTATGAAGCTGCAGGAAGCGTCCAAATACATTTTGGCTTATTTTAGTACTTCGAAGTAAGATGGTGAAAAAAAGAAAGAGAGAAAGATCTACTATATCTGTCACACTACTCACCGTGTTCGTTAGCGTTGAGTGGAATGCATCCTTGGGTGGTAGACGCGTTTCTTCGAATTGGTCGTACGACCCCATATATTCATACGGGTAGACACCCTTTCGTGTCAACAGTTTGCGTTCATCCTCGTCTGGAAATCGTGCGGATAGAAGGGCGAATGCATCTGGTGGTGTAGCCGAAACCAACCGGTCTAGGGAGGTGTTCAAGAATGCCAGGCTGTCGATGAACTGGAACTGTCTCCATCCGAATGTGACATATTTTTCACTGTTGATGGGAATCACGTTGATAGCACCGAGACGCTTGGTCTGAGAAGAAGAAAGAAAAAGAGGAGACACAGTTTTAAGGTGCAGCTGTAAAGATGAATATCAATCATATAAACGTGAATATGAGTACCAACATAGTAATGATCTTCCTTCTTAGAAAAACATCATGATCCACGCACACGCACACACACGCACACACACACACACACACACACACACACCACGCATATGTAACGTACCCGTTCTTGTCCTTTCTCGTTCACATACGTAATCTCATCAATGGACGTTCTCCCAATGGCAGATATGATGTGATGAGAATCGTATCCCTTCAAGTTATGAAAGATCACAGGAATCTTGATCTTTAATGGCTCAATCCGCATGTTCAGGTTACAATGGTTGTGTGCTGCACCACGGTAAACACCGGTGATGTGACAGTGGTCACGTACACGATCGCTACCCAACGCTTCACCACAGATCCAACAGGAGACTACCGTTTCAAATTCACGTTGCTGACTTTCTGAAATGATCATTTGACCAGTATTACATGCTAGAAGCTCATCACGGATAATCTCCTCCTCTTGCTCAAGTGACAGCAGAAAACGGAACATAGAATCTTCTCCACGGTAGAAGAAACGGTTCGTGACGACGCCATCAGATCGTACTACAATGTACGAACAGGAGCAGGCTACATGCTTGTTCTTTTGGAATGTCGAATGACCGATTTTATTGACAGCGGACAGAGGTTCTATGAAGGCCTCACAATCGGCATAGATCACCTGCATTTGAGAGAGAGAGAGAGAAGTAGGAATAGCAGCAGGGACAACACCGAGTAAAACAGCAGAAAAGACAGATAGAGAATTAGGAATAGCTGCAGAGACAACACCGAGTAAAACAGCAGAAAGGTGAACAATCAGAGTCAAGAAACATGTGCAGGAAAGAAAGAAAAAAAAACAGACCTCAGTGTGTTCACCTTGATTAAGTGTTCTACTTACAAATGGGGCTTGAAGCTGCTTGTTCACATTCCTGAACATCACTCTATCGCCAGCCTTTGGCATCTCCACCGTAGCTTCAGGATGTTCACTGCAGTACATCATATGATTATTCAATGCCTTCTCCGTGACGTGTGTTGAGAGACATCTGAAGCAGACGAAATGTGCTCGACGTGCTCCAGTAGCAACAAGACGACTGAATGACTTTATCCACACCCAGTGCTGCACCTCCACGTCATTGCGTTCGTCTTGAATGAGCAATACATTGATGGCGGTCTGCGGTTGCTGAGAAATTCTTAACGGATATATGACTTTCTCTTCATATCCGAAGACGTTGATGTAAAGACCGTCGTTCAGTCTTTCGATGACTGGTATGTCTTCCAGTTTTGCTGGAAACTCGATGCCGCTCACATCCACAGTATCCGCATGTTCTGCGTACGACGATTGACGACATGGATGAGACTTGTCTGCCGAAAATTTAGCAGCCAGTATTGACCATCTAAAGTACGGATGATATAAGACATGGACAGAACATACAGTTCAATCCATACACCATATCACAACACTGAAACCCCACTGCTATACTTACAGTAAACACTTGTTGTCAGTGTTCTGCACGTTAACAATGGCCTTCTTCGACTTCAACTCCGGTGGCAAGGGGATGTACGAACTTCCTCCAAGTACACAGTAGCGTGACATTTCGATGTGTAAACAGGAAATCCGTTCAACTACCCAACCTGATCCATGACGAACGAAATCATCAAGACGAGCGTTGATCTGAGCTATCATCGTACTGAGAAGGTCCCTCAGCTCCATGGTGTTGAGCACCAGCGTTGTACTCGATCGGAAGAAGAATGTGTTGGAAACCATTTGTCCTGTAGCAGGATTCAGCTTCTGCATCACCACCTGAACTACCAAAGAACACTTGTACTGACCCCATTGCTCAATATTCTCTTCAAGAAGCAGCTCCAGCGACGGTAGAACATGAGAGAAAAACTTTAGTACATCTGCAAACTCTTGATCAGGACAATAACTAAAGAATTGCAATAGATCAGATGATCTCACTACATCAAAAGACTGACGAGGTTTCTTCCGAAGGGGTTCCATCCTGAGCAGGGGTGGTGGCGGACAACCACACAATGGCTTGACAAGGTACCGAGGACCTATTCTTATAGGGTTTTCGTAATAGTTGAATTCGGAATAACGTGTTGTTTTTCAATTAACCAATCCACTCATCTCCCGCTGGAAACAATTAACCACTTACCGCACTTCCCGCTGAAAACATGTGACCAATTAGCGCACTTCCCGCTGAAATCACGTTCATCCTTTTATCGCGCATTGACCCATGTTCCACACTTCACAGTGAAATCAGTGCTGCAATGATGTACTGTGACGTCAATGCATGGATGCCTGATCTGTGCATCTGAGGTCAAGATGAATCCGGTATTCCAGCAGCTAAAAGTTCGAGAAAGAATTGTTGTATGTCGAAAAGAATTATACGAGAGGAAAGCTAGAAAAATTCTACACCTCATGGACCTTTCGATTACGGACATAGATGGAAAACTAATTGACTTATGTCAATGGAAAGATTCCAAACCCGAACAAAAAAAGACACGGCATGTCGCGAGCAACGTTTTGGTTTTTGGCGCGCACCGTGTTCACCGTGTTCTCCAAGGTCGTCACCTTCCCGGAGGCGGGACCCGGCGGGACGGGACTTGGCGGGACCTATAAAACCTGATATAATTTCATTTTTGGTTCACAATTCATTTTTGAGTCCATTGGATGATCGAGTACCGTCTCCAGAATTTCTCTCTCTATCAGATCAAAGATGTCGGCCTGGTCAACCTCCGAACCATATGTTGAGAAGTGGTATTTATTTTCTTGTAGAAAGGATGAATTGACCGTGCGCTTACTGACAGATATATGTGAACAAAATGGGTGCTATCTTCTCTCTCTCTCCGGAAAATGATCCGAAAAATTGAAATTACAAGTCAAAATACTGCAAAACTATGAGTTCTGATTAATATAAAATTGGAAAAAGTGAGATAACATTGACATTTGAAATAGTAATATTTTAGACATCGGAATGCAATATTATGATGTAGGGCAGGACATATTACCCACCCCTAAAAATCAAAATTAATGATACATGCAGAATTCCAAATCATGACACCATATTACCTTATTGTTTAGGGTAGAGCATAACACCCCAATACATATTTTCAATAATACCCCCTTTTTTTTGAGGTAGGGGCACTTATTTTTATCCGCAAAAAAACCGGGCCAAAAATAATTTTCACCGCAAAAATGGGGTACTATTAGTACCCCATTTTTCAATAATACCCCATTTTTTGGGACCCGGGCGCCCCCTGGCCCAGAACCCGCTCGTTACCTTCTACTGGCATACCCAAGGGAGGTTCTTGATCAATTGAGCGCACGAGGCGTGGTTGGTTGGTGATCACCAAGTCCAGACACGAAAGAGAGCCATTAGGCGAGGAATGAGTGGGGAAGTCAACCATCTGGTGGAGCCCAAGAGCAGCAAATACTGTGCTAAGGAGATCACCAGCCTTCGAGGTAGAATCGGTGGGACACCAGCTTGAGTTGTGGGCGTTGAAATCGCCAGTCACTAACAGATCATAAGAATCTAAACAGACTGACTGTAATGCCTCAACAAACATGTCACAAAAGTACGACAATTGCATTGTGCTCTGTGAGGGTGGTCGATACATGCAGCATAGTAAGATGGGATTCTGAGATTGAGTAGAGGGGGAGCCAAGTTCAAGCCACACAGACTCGCAGCCAGGGCGTTGAAGGTCGGCACGAGGGGAGACGTACGGAAAGGAGTCCGAACGGACAAGTACGGCAACACCCCCATACCCACGGCTACAATGTGCTGACCGATTGTCTTCCGGAGGTCGATCTCTGCGGATGCAGATATAGCCTGACAGTGAGAGCGGGTTCGAGGGACAGAGCCACGTCTCTGTTAGGCAGATTATGTCAGGCTTAGCATATTCGGCAATAACGCAGAGCTCAGACAACTTGTTGACAACAGAGCGACAATTCAGAGATACTAGGGTTAAATCACGCTGGGATTTAGGGAAAAAAGGGAACGCTGATGGATTAAGCGCTGGACATGCAATGCCAGAGGAGGGCTGAGCGGGGTAGAGCGGGTGGGCTAGTTTCGATCGTGGGGTGAATACAGGGGCGTTGGGATTTAGTCGTTGTTGCTGCATCGTTGTGTATGTTGGTTTGTTAGCATGACAGTTCAGGATTGATCATCACTGCCTCGCCGCGAAGTAGAAGACGACTTGTTACCTTGGGCATCAGCAAAGCGCCACTTTCGCACTGTGTGCTGGATGGTGGCCGGCCAGAATTTGGAGTCGAGAACTTTGTCCTCGTCCGATGCTGCCACGGTTACGCGAGCATGGCAAGAACCCAGGTACGTGTTTTCTGAAATCGAACAGTTCAGTACGTCAACTTGGCGGGCCTTGCACCACGCTGTTATTGACTCTGCCCTGCAACCCGGGCTGACATTTCCAACGTACAGAACAAGCTTCTTTGTACGTTCAGGCCCTGTTAGCACACGCGGGTCGGCTGCCCGGGGCTGAGGTTTCACGTAGCGTGACGTAACCCTACGGCGTGTGACTTCCGACCACCCTGCACCTGCAGCACTCGACCCTGGGTTGGATTGCTCAGGTGGGTGTGGTCTGGTGCCATGCATTGACAAAACAGGCTGCGACAAATGGCTGGAGGTGGTGTGAGCGGGGGTCATATGGTGAGTACTAGAACCCGTACTACCCTGTGTGTACTGCATAGGACCAGAGGAAATATGGGTGCGTTCACGTGGGGGATTCAAGTCTCCTACGGCGGTGCTGTACAACTTCCCGCCGGACATTGCCAAATTTTGCTGTGCTTCCTGTACGAGAGGGTGTACACAGATTTCCGGTTGTTGGAGCCCCTGAACTTCCCGCCTGAGTTGTTGCACTTCTAATAGGCCTTCATACATGTCACGTGCCTGTTATCAGGTCGTTGCTAGCGTTTGGCCAATCAGAGCAGCACCGTACCAGGGCATTATCAGACGATAATGCCCGGGTACGGCGTACCCATGCCCATTAGGAATGACCCCAGGCGTACTACGTACGCTGGTGCACTGCCAAATATGCACCAAGCCATGCCTTTTGGGCAGTGACCTGGTACATAATTGGCAGCACTCCAGTGCACATAGAACACGTGGGACCATTCCTAAGGACACCACATGCACTCGCACACACCACACAAAACGAAACTACTTACGTGCATCGTCCAAAACAATTTAATATATTTTACTAGCAATGTCGACATAGGAGAAGTAATTTATAACAACGTGACAATAACACACAGCATGTCATTACCATGCATTACTAAATTCAAGTCAATTGAGACGAACAAGTCGACAGGTGAACATGCATCACAAAGTTACCTATCTGGAAGAGATCAGATTGTATCTCGAACTCCTACAAAATGTACAGTTACATCTACATGTACATGTACTTCAAATGTACCTAGCTACATGATTGTCCAATGTACATAATGGACCTCAAGTAAACTGAAAGCAATGCGAACAAAATCTCAGATGTACATGTATGTGAAAAAGTATCATTGTTCCGAATAAGAACACTTACAATGTACTCTCAAAGCTAGTCTATTTACTAGTGCCACTTGGTCAAGGATGTTTGCGGCCAACGTTAACTCCAAAGCAGCAGCGAATGAGCTAACTTCCGTACCGCCCAATAGGCAACACTAACACCAAAATGCAAAGACATATTCCTGGAACTGCAAGTAAATCTGACACAAAACGTTCTATCATTCCACGGAGAAAGCTCCTTCCGATCTTGTTCGACCCTTCATTCATATGACAGCTGATTGGAACCTTCCTCCTCCCTTGACCATGTTTACCTTATTTGTCTACAACTAGGCACGTGGCATGTATGAACTATAATAAACACATGGTACGGAGGGCATTATGGCTGATTGTATGCCCTAGTGCGTAGCTCTCGGTCGTGCACCGTAGCCCGCGGGCCTGCGGCCCTTGGGCTACGGTGCACGACCTCGGGCTACGCACTAGGGCATAAATCAGCCATAATGCCCTCCTAGTCCACAGGCCAAGGTGCAAAAAAGTGACTTTTCGTTCCCGTTCGAGGGGGACCAAGGTTTGACATGTGCAAATGATAGAGAATACATAGAGCTTTCAGGATCTGTGTCACTTGACCCAGAAACATGGGGCTTTGTTGACCAAATCAACGAAATACTTCTTGAAGAGTGTTACCATAGCAACCAAAGTGATAATTCCCAATTTAGGTATCTTGCAGATTAAATACCAACAGTGTTGCTTTGGAATGAAGTAGCCAAGGCCCAGACCTAGCTGTGTACACATTTTCATGATGATCGGAGGTGTTTTACTACCTCAATAGCATTTCTTAGAATAGAACACAATAGCGTCAATACACGGAATGCAATATACACTAACCATGCTTATGCAATCAACGGAATTCCGCCACTACACCTTGCAGTTCATTTTCCGCGTTTCTCTCCTCATCAAGCCCCACATACTAGTAGTAGTACTGTTCTTTCAATCAAATGAACCCCTCGATAGGCATACTGCCTTTGGGTCATTTCACAATAGTAATACATTGTAATAATGTATGTCACATTTGAGAACATATTATACAACAAGGAGCCTGCACAAAATAGGAAATAGGACAAGTACACTAGAAGGATAATTTATTATTTCCTAGCATGAAGTCTCTGATTATAATAATAAAGTCTTAGTACTGGCATAATCTGTAAAGTTACTATTACTGTCACGCTTTCATGGGTCTCCGGGCATTCCGATCATATTTCATGCCTAACTTTTCTGGTATAGGAGCTCCAGTAAGAAGATCATAGGTCCTCTGGAAACAATTTAAAATGAAGGTACAGGTTAAATTATAATGACAATATTACAGTCATGTAGATAATATGATAAGAAGAAGATGTGCTATCACCCGTGCTGCGGGATGCGGTTGTCGGCCAAAGAAAGACAGTTCCGGCATCCACTGATGCTGACACAGATCTGTCATAAGATTTGTTGCAAGATATCCCAGAGGTGGTGGGACACTCTAGAGCTGGCTGCTATCCATCATGCACTTGATTGCTCAACCTGAAAAAGATAGAAAGAAAGAAAAAAGACCATCGCACAATGATTGTGTCCCGTTAGCAGCAAGCCGCGTGACGGATCTACATACATGGCCAAGTATAGTCAGTATGGACAGGTGCTCATTAGCAGCGCATCTCTCATGCTTAAAGACTTGGAAGTTAATACAGCACAGAGATAACGGCAACTAGTGATTGCTTACAAGTTTGTCAGTCCCGAATCCTTACGGTTGGCTGGCTGCTATCAGTCATGAGCTGTGTCACTGCAGACCCTATAACACACATACGAGAATATAACGCTTTGTTAGTATTGAATTCAAGTTCACATTACTTAAAAGGATTTGACCAGCCATGTACACCAATGGTATAAACAGTTACTATCATAAATATCTCTCACGTGAAGCATTCATTGACGGCATTATTTTAAAACAAAACAAGATATCAATGACTACTTACAAATCAGTTTCAGGTGAGATGTGTTGGGTCGTAGGCAATGCTGCATGCTGCTCTGGGTAGTTTGTGCATACTACTGAAGAGTGGTGCCGACAGGTGCAAGCATCTGTACACAACAGCATATGCCGGCGGCACGAACAGTTGCCACTGCTGCAACCAGTTTTGCACCCGCACCGGAGGAACTCTAGGATTGACTTTGGAGCAGGTGGCAGGCTTAACCAGTCAACTGCCAATGTCCCATTGCTTTCTAGGTGCCAGCCTGTAATATGAAGAGAAGAATCACAGCGACAGGAAAAAATGTTCAAACTCCATTACATACAGAGATATCAAGTACACTGGTTCTATACAACATCTTCTTAGCAGATTTATCACAGCGGGTACTCTTACAGGTACATAAGTATTAAAGCCTGCTGCACTTTCTTATTCAACACCAACACAGACAAGATACATACTGAAATACATTCTGCCATTCTCTTACTTAGGTGTACTTTACTATTGCTGCTCTCACCTTGTTCTTTCTCATTCGGTGATGGTGCATCCACATGTGACAAGAGGCATCGCTTCCAAATACCAGCTTGGTAATTGGAGCGGCAGCAGTGCTTTAGAAGGGCGTCATTGCAGGGTGGCAGTTGGTTGGATTGCAGACTCCTTGTGCAAAACAGCTGGTACCTGGCATCATTGACCCGGGAACACGTGGTGTTGTACATGATGCAGACAAACTTCTCTAGGGCGTCGATGACAGCGGCACGAAGGGTTTGCTCGCCATCCTCGGATTGCAAGAGCGACGTTGTTTGCTTAGTGCTTTTGCCTGGAATCTTCTTTTTCAAAGAGCCGCAGAAAATGCAGGTTTGACGGCCTGGCTCGACAATTGGGGCCTGCACAGATTGCCGAGTGTTCCGGCGGGGTTTCGGATCAACTGATTCCATACTCCAGTGTCCATATCATATCTCTATCCCTCGACAGGCCATCGCCTCTGGGAGATATAATTTATGCTTATAATTATGTCAGTCACCAAAACTTCTCTATCTCGACGATTCCTTCATCTGGCGCAGTAAAACATTATCGTTTCCCTAACCTGCGTGCTCAGTCGAAGGGAGACATGTATGGTTGCCCAAGGATGAAGGAGCACTCCTTGGGCTACCCGAAACAGTCGCCATGGATCGGTTGGTCGTGTAGAGTAAGCCCTTTTCGGCTTTCTTTGTTGTATCCGACTGCTTCAATTTCTTCTAGTTCTGCAGTGCCGCCCCACGTGCCGCGCCACGTGAAAGCGAAATTCAAATTTGAGCAGGCTCTCCGCGTACTCAAAATTGCAGGAGACGACAACTGCGCACTTGGGGTCGTTCCGAAAATTGGAACCAAAAGGGCTTACTCCGCACGAAAGCCCCAGCTCCGGGGATACCCAAAAGTAGTTTCGAGTAGCCCGAGGGGTCCTCTTTCGGTTCGCCACAACCAAACTTGGTCCCCCCTGAGCGGGAGCGAGATTTTTTTATCTCGAAAAATTTCAACCCTGGCCTGCGGACTATCCGTACCATGTGTTATTATATACTTATGCACATTGTACAGATGCACGAAATCCCGTATAATCTTGTAGAATCCCGTAGACCCGGTTGGGTGTTGAATGTGCAGGACCCTATTGTGTTTACTGCTATTTCCACTATGAAATGGGCCATGAAGGCATTTCATACGAAATCTTTTTCCGGCAGAGATCTAGCTAGTCGTTAGTTCAATCCCAAAGTGAAGAAGGCTTGAAAAGTGATCGTTTGCCATGAATTGTGAGGCTAAATGGGTCAAACGCGCATGTATAGCACACAATGAACACCCGACCGGGTATGTACACACCTACGGCCATAGTACAGAACTTCGTACATCTGTACAATGTGCATAAGGACTATTCCAGACTCAGGATTTTGTCGGCTCTATCCTGTCTCAAGGAGACAATTTCCTGTGACATGCAGCTAATTGAGTCAGTAAGGCTTACAATTGCAAGTTGGAGCTCCGATGTGGGTAGCGAACTCTGCGCCAACACGCCCACTCCACGCTTCCTCAGCTGGCTCACCAGATCCGGCCGGGAGAGGCTCGAGGCTTTATCCACAGACATTTGCTCGCCGATCTTGATGAGCTCCTCATAGCCAACCAAAGCCAGGTCCATGCCTTCGTTTGTCGCCATTGGTACTGTTGGTCTCTTCTATTAGTTCTAAGCAATAATGGGGAGGGGTAGTTCTGTAGAGAGACGCACCTCGAGGCTAATCCTCGGAGCACAAAATGTCAAACCGCACCCTACTTTCACTTAAATAGGGCTTTCAAACGCAAGATCATAACGTGAAGCAACTTGAAAGAATGAGTATGAATGCGAAGTGTATGAGGGAATGCATGTAGGGCGATAGTGCGGGTTCGAATCCCAGGTTATGCCTGAAAAAAAGGAGAATTGAAAATTTATAACATCCATATGCTTTTTTGCCTATGTCATCAATGCGGTAGACGGTGTCGTATTACCTCGACCGTACCTGTCCCGTACCGTACCGGACCATCAAAGACGGCTGGCCACAATGCATATTCAAATAGGGCTTTCAAATGAAAGATCATAACGTGAAGCAACTTGGAAGAATTAGTATGTATGTATGCGAAGTGTATCGGGGGGTGCATGCAGGGCGATAGTGCGGGTTCGAATCCCCGGTTACATGTATGTCTTAAAAAAAGTAGACATTTATAAGAATTTATAACATCCCTATGCTTTTTTGGGTCTAGGTCATCAAGGCAAAAAAGCATAGCGTAGGGCCCAGAGCTTCCAAGCTCTCTCGTTTATGTGATGTGATGTGTAGCCTGTGGCTGGCCACATTCCTACCTTTCTGTGTAACACTTGACTTTGGTTAACTTTATCCAGTACACAGCAATAAGAAACAACGGTATCTTCGAACTTCCTGAACAATACTCATTGGTTTGAGGGACAGGTGCAAACGGGAAAGTGTGAAGATAAATGCTACGTGTATATGCATAATGTTGACTAATCACCATGTCCCGGTACTTCTTTTGTTTCCCTGGAAATGAGATCTTCGAACATTCAAATTACACATTTGTTCTGTTACTCAAACAAGCTACATAAATTATGTCATGTAAGATGTGTGTAGAGGAATGGTGAAAGTCAAAAAAATTATTTGCCTTCTATCTGAGTTCCATACGAGATTATCACTTTAAAATGCCGCCTCTTTCATCCTGTCCTTCTTTTGTTTGCCTTTTCTACCTCCCAGTACTGCCATCCTGTTCTGGTAATCCATGTCAGAACGGTGCAACATGTCAACAGAGAGGATCATTAGTTCATTGTCACTGCCCACCATTGTATATTGGAAAACGTTGTGAAGAAAGTAAGTATACAACACAACACATTGATGCTGATCTGATCAAGTGGGACGTCGTACTGTGTTTAAGAAATCGTTAGGAAATATCATGTTCACAATAACATCACTTATCCTTATAGTAAAGACAAATCCTTATCTTGATTCGCACCATAATCAAACACAATGACGTTTTCTCTTCCCACGACATTCCACCACCCATTCCCGGAGCACAAAGAAGCATCAGTAAATGCTCCTAACGTCGTTGGTAGATACCGTTAGATGACTACAACCAGCAATTTCAAACGGTTCACAAAACCAGGGCTGGCTGATGCTTTCAACTCTGTGATAATCTGATAGGGCGCTGGCAGGGGGGAGGGGGGGAGGGGGATCGGCCATTGGTTGTGACCTAGACGATGTGACATATCTCATTCGTGTCCTATTGTCGTCCAACTTCTAGGGAGTTGTGAGTTGCCTGGGTGATACACGTGAGAAGCTGTCTGTGGCAATGATGTCCAAGCTACTCACTTTCCCTTTGCCGCTTTACACCTTCCCCTGGGTCATGTTACACTAGCACACAAACGATAGCGACGCATATTTTCTTGCAGATGAACAGTTTTACAGTTCTGTTTGATTAAAACGAGAAACCACTATTCACGTTGTACATGCATGGATCATTACATTTGTGAAAGAGAAGATTACCGTGTCATAGGATGACTTCTACACAGTACGTTTGAACGATGGTTGCTAATAATATTAAAACGTACTCGTAGAATGAATCTTTATTGATTTTGTAGCCTTCATTGCTCTAGTTTAGCGAACAATATCCACTGATGAACTTGGCAAGGAAAGCAATTCGGAAAACTCTGGGGGCTTCGATGGTGCTTGTCGATGACTGGTACTAAAATAGTAATCCTGATGAAGCGAATGTAACCTGATCGAGCCTTATACGAAACGTGATTTCTTTTGCTTGGCTTTCTCTCCAGAGTGGTTTGATGCAGCTAAGTTTAAACAGCAATCCAACACATTACATCAAGTCAGTGAGGATGTTCAACAACTGAAACATGAGCTACGTGCTGGAAGACAGGATGATATCAATCGTATTGATTCATATCTTCAAGAACTGGGTACAAAGATTCTTACTAATGTAAACTCCACCATGAATCAGATGTCATCTCAGGTTGCCGCCCTGGTGAGTTCATGATATAGCGGATTGCGTTAATTGTACTAGTAGAACATGTGTTAACCCAGCTATAAGTAACTTTGCCATGACTGAATCAGAGTCGGTGTAGTTAAGCTCACTTCCCCTACAAGATAGTGAATGCTTTATGAGTGCTTGTAGTCCGTCAGTATACAAGCCAAACAATTACTGAAGATTTTCACCCTGAATTGATGCGAGAATGCGGAAACGATGCTAAAAAGAAAATTAATGTTAAAATTTGAAAACTATGTTCTGTGTTTTGCAGAGTTATGAGAACGAGGTTGTGAGCTCGAATGCTTTTTCATGTTTACTTATGTACTTGTTTGCTCTTGCTGGTGTTTCCCACAGAATGAAAGGCTTAACGAAGTCGAGGGAAGGCAAGAAGGTACGATGCAATACTAATGAAATGTAAAGATATAGGATTAATAAGTTACTAGTTATGACTAACAGTCCATCAAGGTAACGAGATCTTATACAGTCAGATAGTGCGACAACGCATCCAAGAAGTGGAAACCAACACCCTTCCAACTTGGAAGGCTCAGGTGGGGACAGTTCCAATGAGGGGAAAGGATGCATTGATCGGTAGGTGTAGAAATTTGTATTTACTTACTGGTCGCACTTCATGACACATAATGAAAATACTCAACATAAGGAAGTGAGAATACAGTCTGCGAATTGCTTTGTGACATCTTCTACTGCTTATCGTGAATAGAACTACTTCAGTAGTTGTTTCGGTACCATAAGTATCTCGCTAGGTATATGCAATCTTTCATTCCAAGTAGGTGAGCCAACTGAGAGAGAGTTACGTTTACACGCAAGTAGGTAAGGCAGGGGTTGGGGATTAATGACATGTACATGTATATGGGTAAGTACATATGTAGCATTATCAGGCGTATACATGTATGTAGGTACTCAATCTGCGGACAGAACTCCACGTGTCCCACGTGTGTTTCATGGGTCGGAAAATTTACTAGCTGGGAGAGAGAAAACATGTTAGTGACACAAAGAATGTGTTTACCCAGTGGATCCGTGAGACTGCCATACCACTGGGAGCACCTCGCATTAAAGTCACCCATTACTAGGAGAGACGAGCGTGGACTCTTCACGGAGGCAAGGCACTGTTGAATGCATCGCAGAATCCTTCTATGAACGGATGGGCTTTGTTGGGCGGTCTGTAAACAGATCCGACGACAAGCTTAGTCTGATGTTGGTCCCTGGGAGACTTAGTTCTCGCTGGGAGGGCAAGCTCTACCCAGGTGGCGTCGAAATTGAGGAGGTGCATGTCGGGGCGGTGAGTGACGGAGGCAAATGTACCGGACCTGATAAGGATTGCGACGCCTCCATACGCGTGGAACGGATCGGTATTCCTCCTGTTCTCCTCTGTTGGCCTGTCACAACGAAAACACTCGTAGTCCGATAGAGAAAGATCCTGGTCATGGGACAGTCAGGTTTCAGTTATGCATACCATTACGGGTTGGAAGGTAGAGCAGAAGTCATGTAGTTCAACTAGCTTATTTCCGAGATAACTGGCATTTATGCAGGCTATGTTCAGTTTACCCTGGCAGGGAGGGAAGTAAGGCCGAGCGAGTGGAGTATAATATAAATAGTCTTTATTTCTGGATTTCCCAAAGGCTAACGCCTATCTGGGGGATCTCCTATTTGTGTATGTACTAGTAACATAGTTAAGGATGCGAGAGAAAGTGCGCAAAGTGAGTGTGAAATGTTGGTTTGAAAAAGGAATAATAAGAAACACAAGGAAAGAAAGTAAGACAGAAAAGAAAGGAACAAGCATGTAAATCAATGATTGCACATCAAAGGTGTACCAGTGCAGTCGAACTGATACTTAGCAATGTGAATACGTAAATGACGCTTGAATTCAGATAGGGAATCTAAAGTTGTCAATCGGGGTGGAAGACAATTCCAAAGAGAACCAGTTTTCTGTAGGAAAAGGGATGAAAAAATACGACCATGTGAGTTAAATACGAGCTTTTTGGGCCTACGGGCACTACGTGATATGGTTATCGCAAAGCGAGAGAGATATTCTCGGTGGAAATTGATGTACTTAAATAAAACAACAAGAGAAATAAAGATACGGCGAAATTGCAGAGATTCTAAGAGACACAATCTATTCAAATTGGATTTTGATTTATAGATATCAAAGGTTATTTTTGCAGACTTCATGAGTCGCCGGCAAACCTTAGCCTGGAGTACATCAAGGGACTCTAACTGAGCGAATGTGATCCTAAATTACCAGACAGGAATGGCATATTCAATTGCCGGACGCACTTAAGACTTATACAAGAGGAGAATATGGGACTATGGTTTCAGCTGTGATCGCGCCATTATGCTGGGCCTGAGGAGAGGGTGTTGTCTACCTGGTTGGCATTGCCGGCTCTGGTGTCGAAGCTGTCTGTGCCAAAGCACCGGGGCTGAACTGTGTGTGAGAGAGTGGCCGGCCAGAAACCTTTGTCATCGACGGTCTGTTCGTCAGTTGCCTGGACTGTCACCCGTGCGTACGCAGTCCTGAAGTACATGTACTTCGATGTGAACACTACCCCTTCCTCAATTTGTACTCCTGGGCAGAGCACCATTCGGCGATTGACGATGCCCAGCAGTGTGGCCACACGTTGGCAACGTAGAGCATTTTCCGTTTAGTCCAGGGTTCTGTCGTGAATCCTGCTGCCGGCTCGCTACCATGAGCCGGTATCGTGTAGCGGGATGTCTCGACACGTCTAGTCACCCTTTCGCTTGCGGACTGACCGTCTGCAACGTTCTTTTGCCTTAGGGCGGCTCGAGAACGTCTGCTCTGGTGCTCCTGCTATATATTTTGCGCCGAGTCCCTGGATCTACGAGATGCTAGGGCCACGAGTACTTGTACTTGAGTTGAGTGCTGCTGATAGAGATTTGTTGCTGTGCATGCACTGGGCTGGCTGACACTGCCAGCATGTACGTGTGTGCCCTACGGGATTTGTATTGGCGGGCTTGAGCTGGAGAGTCCAGCGAGTGCACGTGCAGGTTGTTGGGATGTTCCTGCTACGCGAATTGTCGTTATATCCGCAGTCGTTATTAGCGAAGTTGACTGTACATGTAATACGTCGCTGTACTGTGCTGTGCTTCCAGAGGTCGTGTGGCTCCCGTTTGCGCATGGCATGGCATGATGTGTGTGTACTGCGGTGTGTACGCTATTGTCTCTAAGGTCAGCAATTTCCCGCCTGAGTTGTTGGGTCTCAAGTTTCAAGGGCGCAATTTCATCGTCTCTGCCCCCCCCCTTGTCACCACCATCTCCTTGTTTAAATCTATTATTGTGGTGGACAATGAGGCTATGGCGATCGTTAAAATCCTATACCAGTCGAACCTTCCAGGATAGGGTGGTACCGATGCCCTCCTTCCGGAGAGCTCCTACCAGGTCTTGCCGCGAGAGAGAATCAGATTTCGAGATGTCCCTCTGGGTGGCCAGATTTTGGAGGCCGTCAAACGTCAGAAGGGCCAGGTCGACATGCTCAGTGGTGGCCACAGTCCACAGTTAGTCACAGACGCTATGGGTTGCAGTTGCACGCTCACAGACAAGCTGAGAGGAAGTTGAATCGCGAGTACATGTTGAGCTTCAAATTTTGCATCCGGTCGCAAGTACAAAAAATGATATCCTTCCAGAGATCCTGAAGGTCATCCCGAGGAGACTTTATCTCCATCAAAACGTTTTTGATATGCTAAATACGTCTCAAGACGTATGCACAACGTGTCGGTAATGCAGAATGTAGAATCTGTGCTTAATGCTGACGATGAAAAGTGAGGTTAATAGCAGCTGCTACAGGGATACTAAAGCTGCTTAGGGTGGCAACGGTGACTTATTTGTATTACCCTTGCACCCAGACTTCAAAAAAGCTTACCTGATTTGTGCTCACTCAACACAGATCGGGTTTGACTGATGTTTTATTTCCACGAATTCTGCAAGAGATTAGCAGTCTAAATAATGACTTTATTACATCGTGCTTTTAAAGGGGAAGCTAAGCCTAAAATCAAAATTTCACCAGTTGTAGTCTTCGGCTTGCTGAGTCGAATGGTCTTGGTCCGAGGAAGCTGAGACGCTTCCTTCCTACTTCAATCCCAATCGAACTCGCGCACTTCCACCGAAACTGGGTGACTGCGCCCTACTAGATAGGGATTTGTATGCAAAATGTCACTAAAAGCGCCATGTGTAACCGTTTTCGCCTGTTCGCTATAACTTTACACTCCCTCGCACCTCATGCATCTTACGCCTGTCTATTAGCACGTTCATTGGCGCCATTGCCACATGTATACTATCACCTTTTGCATATAACTGGTTGAGGCACGCTCAACCAGGTCTCTTACTTTTCAAGGTTTGATTAAACCTGTTACACTGGTAGCAAAAGGATGGTTACTACTCAGCTTTTAGCAGGTGTTCTGGTCGCTCTGCGTACGCTCCTCGTACTCGTCGTTCGGCTGATAAACGATATCAAGACCGCTCAGCGCGTTAGCCAAGGAAACCGAACGATACATCCGAAATCGGAACCGTGGGAGACAACACCCCACCTTACGAAAGAGCAGCCTGTGTTTGGAGGAGTTTCCGCTACATTCAAAGAATGGACGTTTGCAATGGACATGGCCCTACGGTCGTTGGCACTCCCAAATGCGGCACAGAGGGTCGACTACGCAGCAGGATTTTGACTGGAAACGCTCGTCTTTGGTTGATAGCGGCATTGGAAGCTAACCAAGTGTTTTCCGACTGGCCTGCTCTGAAAGCGGCGTTTGGCGATGTGTACAGACCACAGCACAACGAGGAAACATCGCAGCACGGGTCGCTGGACGCATACATTGCTGCTTTCACTCGCCTCAGCCTGCAAGTGCCGGAAATCGACCACCACACCAGAGCGCTGCTGTTCTTCAGGGGTCTAGTGCCGCACATCCAGCGACAGGTCATGCGTGAGCATCCACGTACCCTGGAGCAAGCTGTCATGGCAGCAAACACCGTGGAGCAGTCGTCAGGGCCACCGGCGTCGGGGCCACCAGCCAGTAGAGAGTCGCGTTCCGTGCCCAGCTTCCGTGGCCAGGGCCTCCGCAAGCTGACGGACCAAGAGCGTGTCCAACTGCGAGCGATGGGACACTGCTTTGCTTGCAGGAAGCTAGGCCACCTCGCTAAATACTGTACTGAGGGTGGACAGCGCTACCCAAACGCTGGTCGCCAGTAAGAAAGGGGGTGCGCTTACTGGCGACGACCCAAGCACCCACGCCGTTATCAGTCGCTAACCGGTTCGGAGCTCTGGAGGTTGAAGACGTTGCTCTCCAGGAACCTACGGAGTCGGGGACACCCATAGCTGTAGGAAATTGTCCTGTTGCAGAAGGGTGTCATGTCAGCAACGTCAGCGTCGGTAATGAACCTGAACACGACCTACTGCGCGTACAGGGAAAGATCGGCGGTCGCCGTGCAGTGATGCTAATAGATTCCGGTTCGATGCATGACTTCATTGCAGACGGTTTTGGTCGAAAGCATCATCTTGACAAGGATGCAAGCTCAGAAATGCTGAGCGTAACATTGGCGGACGGCTCGACCAGCGAGGTCCAACAGATTTCCACACGCACGCTAAAGGTGACAGTCGGGGGCTTCAGTGAGGAACAGTACTTTACTGTGTATCCCCTGACTCGCTACGACGCTATTCTTGGCAAGCCGTGGCTTACAAGGAACAACCCCAGCATCAACTTCCGTACAAACGAAGTTCAGTTGGACGGTGAGCCCTTTGTTGCCAAATTGCCTTCAGCTAACCCGCCGACAGGCGACCGGCCATCTGTGGAAAGCATGTTTATCAGTGGCCGACAAGCTCGTCATGCCCTGAGGAGTGGAGCAGAGGGGTTTCTTGCATGGGTCACTGCTGCAAACGAGGAGAATCGTTCCTGGCCACAACTCCAGGAATCAGAGCAACAGGACACCCAGAACCTGCTCGAGAGGTACCAGGATTTATTTCCAGACGAGCTGCCGAATGAGTTTCCACCGAAGAGACCAGTCGACGATGAAATCCAGATAGAAGATGGAGCCAGACCATCGTCTCGACCCGCCTACCGCTTGCCGAAACCAGAGATGGACGAGCTCCAGTCACAGCTGTCAGAATTACTTGAGAAGGGATTAATTGAGCCAAGGAAGTCGCCATACGGTGCACCTGTGTTTTTTGTGAAGAAGTCGGATGGTACTCTGAGAATGGTGTGCGATTGGCGAGAATTGAATAGAATTACGATCAAAAACAAAGCTTGTCTTCCTAATATTGATTACTTATTCGACACGATCCAGGGCAGTGCATATTTCTCCAAGTTGGACTTGCGGTCGGGGTACAATCAAATCAGAATTCAAGACTCGGATGTTTCTAAGACGGCCATTATTACGCCGTTCGGCCACTTCCAATTTAGAGTCACGGGATTCGGGCTTACTAATGCCTCGGCCACCTTTCAGTCACTCATGAACTCTATTCTGCAACTGCATCTCCGAAAATTCGTTGTAGTATTCTTGGATGACATTCTAGTTTTCAGCAAGACCTGGGAAGATCATTAGCATCATCTTCAAACAGTTCTAGAAACACTTAGAAATAGTGAGCGGTATTGCAAACAGTCTAAATGCGAATTCGGCATGAGAGAAGTTCTCTTCTTGGGGCATAAAATCAACGGCAAATCAATTTCCCCTGATCCCAAGAAGATAAGTGCTGTGGAAACATGGCCAACTCCGTCGTCAGTAACTGATGTGAGGAAGTTTCTTGGCTTTGCAAACTATTTCCGAAGGTTCATAGATCGACACTCGACCATCTCTCGTCCATTAGAAGAAATCACCGGAAAAATCACGCTTTGAATGGAGCGCTGCTAGACAGAAGGCATTCGAGTCTCTAAAATCAGCATTACTCGAGGCGCCAGTGTTGCAACTGGCCAATGTTGAGAAAAGCTTCACGGTAGAAACTGATGCAAGTGACTTTGCCGTGGCGGGTGTGCTCCTGCAGCAGGGAGAAGCTATGGATTTGCATCCCGTAGCCTTTTGTAGTCGGAAACTGTCAGCTGCAGAACGCAACTATACTGCGGCCGAGAGGGAAACGTTGGCTGTGGTATTTGCATTAAAGTGCTGGAGAATCTATCTACTCCGCCACTTTGACCTGATGACTGATAATATGGGTGTCGTCTATTTACGAACCAAACCGACTCTCACCAAGCGCGAGGCAACATGGGTAGAGTTTTTAGCTGACTGTGACTTTACGGTCTTTCACAAACCAGGAAAGAAAAACATTGCCGATCCGCTTTCACGCCGTCCAGATCTGTTCAGTGATTCTGAAATAGGCGGGTCATCCTATCCTCCTAGCATTCAGTTGAATGCCATAGAGCATACCCTAGAGATTAATCCAGACATAGCGCAGTTAATTGTAAGCGGTTACAAGTGCGACAAGGATCTTGCTCCCATTATCAGGAGACTAAAAAATTCAAGCCATGACAATCTGCACGACCGTTACCTTCTAAATGAAACACCCGGTTATCTTTATCTCAGATCTTCACCACAGAACCGGTTATGCATTCCAAAGAGTAGCAAACTCCGACTCGCCCTGCTTCAAAAATACCATGACTGTGTGACTGCGGGGCATCCCGGTCGAGATCGCACCTATTTCAGACTCGCTAGATATTTCTATTGGCCCAGAATGGGACTGGATGTAAAGGCGTTTGTCAAGTCATGTGACGTCTGCCAACGCGTTAAAGGCGGCCAGCTAAAAACTGGTCTCTTGCAGAACTTACCAGTGCCCAGTCAGCCGTGGGCGGATATCTCGATGGATTTTATCATGGGTTTGCCTAGGACCGATACAGGCCATGATGCTATATGTATATGTAGACCGCTTGACAAAGTGTGTACATTTAGCACCTACTTCCTCTACTATTGACGCTAAAGGAAGTGCTGATCTGTATATTCAACATGTATTTCGACTGCATGGTTTGAGTTCTAGTATTGTATGTGATCGTGATCCAAGATTTACTGCAGCATTTTTTCAGGAATTGTTTGATCGCTTAGGAACGAAACTAGCATTTAGTACTGCCAATCACCCTCAGACAGATGGCCTAACTGAACGAGTAAACAGAATAGTAGAGGATGTGCTGAGGGCTTTTGTAAATCATAAGCAAGATAACTGGGATATGCTCCTACCTCTCTGTGAGTTTTCTATCAACAGCGCTACTCAATCATCTACAGGAAACACACCGTTCTTCTTAAACTATGGTCTAAATCCCAGAGCGCCACCAGACTTCCTTAACCCTATTCAGGGAGGCAGAGATTCAGCTGATTGGTTGCAAGCAAGACAAGATGCGGTCAAGATCTCACAAGATGCGCTAGTGGCAGCTCAAGCTCGTCAGGCCTTCTATGCAGATCGGACAAGGGTCGAGGGAAAGCTGAAGGTGGGAGATTTGGTAATGGTCTACTGGGATTTCCTCCTGACTCCTGAAGCTCTGGACCGATCATTCCATAAATTACGCCCCAAGTGGTTTGGCCCCTTTCCTATAACCCAGGTGGTCGGCCCGAATGCCTACAAGCTCAAGTTGCCTCATACCAGCCGCTGTCACCCGGTATTAAATGTGTCGGCACTCTGTGCCTACGAGAAGAACGCTATTCCTAATAGGAGACAGCCTACGCCTCCGCCTATCACGGACCTTGATGGTTATACCCGCTACGTGGTGGAGAACATTCTCAGTCACCGCCGCCGGCAGAATCAGCTTCAGTACCTAGTCAAGTGGCAAGGCAACTCTGTTGCCACTTGGGAGCCTGAACATTATTGTTGGATGAATCTGGTAATAACATTGTTCCACTTCAGAAGTACAAAACCTTGGCTTCTGCCCGCTGACGTTTGCAGTCGAATTTCTAGTTTTCACCTTACACATTTTTTGAGCTTATTACTCTTTTATTTGCATGGAGTTTCAGTCGTCTTATTGTGTTACTTCAGTACGAACCCGTTTTCGTCTCGCACGTGTTTGCGCTTATTGTACTCTATTCCACTTGAGCATTTGGGTTATAAGCTCCTTTCTCTCCATAGGAGGGGGATGATGTAACAGTTCTCCCCTGTTCGCTATAACTTTACACTCCCTCGCACCTCATGCATCTTACGCCTGTCTATTAGCACCTTCATTGGCGCCATTGCCACATGTACACTATCACCTTTTGCATATAACTGGTTGAGGCTCGCTCAACCAGGTCTCCTTCATTTCAAGGTTCGATTAAACCTGTTACACCATGTCGTTCTTATAAAAGCACGGATGACCGCGATTGGCCCATTAGGTTTAGTCTTTTGGACGCTGTGTCGACTGGTTTTGGTCCAAAAAGGCTGCGATGCAACGTTCAGCCCTTATTCCCAATCGAACATGGTTAAACAAGCGGTCATGTGCTCCTGCGTACACCAAGCACCTGGTCACCGTGCCTACAGGGTACAACTTACAGCCTGTTTGAACTTTTTTGGGTGCAGTCCTGCCACTCGAGTTGAACTCGAGTTGAACCTTGGTGTGAAAGTTGTCGCCTGCTGGCGCGGTGACCAGGTGGCTTGGGCACGCAGGAGCATGTGACCGCTTGTTCAACCATGTTCAATTGGGAATGAAGGAGGAGCGCTGCATCGCAGCTTTCTCGGACCAAAACCAGTCGACTCAGCGTCCAGAGGATTACAACAAATGGGCCAATCGCGGTCATCCGTGCTTTTATAAGAACGAAATGGCGCTTTTAGTGACATTTTGCATACAAATCCCCTCTAGTAGGGCGCAGTCACCCAGTTTCGGTGAAAGTGCGCGAGTTAGATTGGGGATAAAGTAGGAAGGGAGCGTCGCAGCTTCCTCGGACAACGACCATTCGACTCAGCACTCCGAAGACTACAACTGGTGAAATCTTGATTTTAGGCTTAACTTCCCCTTTAACAGTCACCCGAAGCTTTGCGTACATTTCCGCTGCATTTATTAATTTTGTTCCCTTCCTCGGGTTATGAACGTTTTTACTATATTTTTGCGTTCTTCTGCAGGGTTATTTTCTTGTCAGAGAACCGACTCCGGTCCGTCAAATGTATTCCTCGGCAGAAAAATGACTACACTTTTCACTGCATACTGTGATCGAGAGACTGATGGAGGTGGCTGGATTGTGTTTCAGAGAAGACAAGATGGCTCAGTGGACTTTTACCGTGACTGGAATGCATACAAGCGAGGATTCGGATCAGCGTCTGGAGAGTTCTGGCTGGGTCTAGATACACTACACTATCTGACGTCACAAGCTGGTAGTACTTATGAACTGCGTATTGATATGGTGTTCAAGACAACTGGAGAGAAGCATTATGCCAAGTGGTCAACATTCCGTGTTGAAGGTGAAGCTGACAATTACAGACTACATGTTTCAGGATTCTCAAGCCCTACATTGCAAGACAGAATGAGTTACCACAATGGAAAACAGTTCAGTACTCGAGACCGTGATCATGACGCATGGAGTCGTCATGGCTGTTCTAATGCATGGAAGGGTGGTTGGTGGTATAACCAGTGTCACCGTGTCAATGTCAATGGATTGTATGGACGTAGTGATGGAGACTACACTGGTGTAGTGTACTGGCATAACGGGAACAAAAGTTTGAAGTTTGTGGAAATGAAGCTAAGAAAGCGTGGATAAAACCCAATGCACTACTAGATTCACTTCACACACTGTTCTCATTTGCATCCAAATGCAAAATTCTGCACTTTGAAACGCTTTCATTGGTTTCCTCTTTTCATGATGACTTTAGGCTATCTTTGTAAATATGCTCTTATGGCTTATGGCTCTTTCCACCCATAAGCTTCTTTTGCAGGAGAGTAAACCTGCCATTCGATTCTTAATCGCCGGCTTCATTAAAGCCAGTAATTCTTTTTGTTTAAAATAATATTACTACAAACATGCACTAAGGGAGTGTTGACCATATCAGGGCATTGCGCGCATCTTCATAACCAGCTCCTCCGCCACCATACAACACATTGATCTCCTAGGAGCGCTTTCGTTTTATACTTCTTATCAGCGAGCAATCGTGGTTACGAGTATACAGTCACTCTGTCTAATATACTGTACTTTTCCTGTCTACTACAATCACCCGCATTCTCTCACTAACCACCTGAACATTAACCATCTAGCGCTCTACACTTTACCAGCTGTTTTCTATGTTGTTTTTAAACCAGACACACTTTAGAATGACTCGCGAGCAAAAGCTGAAGTTCAATTGACGGGTAGTCACACTATCCAAAATGTCTTTGACATGCATAGTGTAGTATCCCTGCCCGACCAATACGGAAGTAGTACGGAACTAATACGGAGATTTGCGTGATGTATAGTTAGTGTATCTCCGTATGTAAGCGTACGGCGTCTGCTGCATAAAAGCTGCTGCGCATTTCTGTTTAGATGATATTTTGATAATCACGAACTATTCAACCTCCAGGTTTGCACCGGAGGGAAAGTTTTTTTTTTTTTTAAATCAACAAGAATTAGTTTTATAACCGCAATCAATAAAACTAGCTGAACCGACATTTGTGTACTTTATTCATGCAATGTAAAAAACGGTGGAGACGATGTGCAATAAAACGATGAAAATATGAAGAAATGGTGTAGGGAAAAAATATGGATTCAAACAAGTTTTCGTACAACACTCATCAGGAATCGTCGTTGTACTAAAGGACACTGAAACAAAAATTGAACTATTATAGAAAATCTAAGTTAGAGAAATAACAATAAGAGCAACAACAGTGAAATTTACAAGTGTGAATTTTAACAATCAAAGCGAGAAATAAACAAAGGAGAAAGGAAGGAAGGACAACGTGATAACACATAACAGCAGTACATTACACCTAGAACATTAACGGCCAAGCTTGGCCACACTAAACACGACACGTGACTTGAACAATTTCAACCCAATTATACTATCTTTCTGTACACACAAATTAGGCTTGTACAGACGCTGATAGATAGCTTCCAACACTTTTAACTGTAGTCCATAACCATGACGACCACGGCACAATACAGTATCAAATTTAAAATCAAATTTTTTATCAAATTGTTGTCTCCTCGCCGTGTGTTTAAATTAGTTTTGTAATAGCTACAAGTATAAAGAGAACAAATTCTGCTGTCATCGCCACACTACAACAAAGTCATGAAGGTTTACCAAAATCGATTTTCTTGTCACAATCATCAGTGGAAACCCGTGACTGAAGAGTAACCATGCTGAATCAATGATTAATATACATTCAATAATGTGTTACGAGAACAAAACAAAGGGCTAAAATAGAATGAGGGAAGGTGAGACAATGGAAGTGAAGTGAGAGCTAAGTGCAACAGGGGTGAGGAACTAATTACAACGCTAGAACTGTGTATTGAGACAAACAATCATGCTGTGCACCTACGAAAACAATCTTAACGCAACTACATGTTTCTTCTGCTTACAAAGATCAGGCTTATGCAAACGAATACAAACAGCCTCAAGTACTTTCAACTGACTAGCGTACCGTGGACGACAAAGAACAGAAAAACTAAAATCATCATACACCTGCAGACACTTAGGGTGAGACAACAGATGAAGAAAAACGGCAGACTTCTTACGATCACAATCACCATCCGATTCCTCGTCTCCACCAACCGCAACCTCGTCCTCCGTCTCACCTTCCAACTCGTCCTCAGTGTCGTCCCCCGTGAACAAGGAGAAAGAAAGCTGAAGGGAAAAGAATTCAACAGAGAAAACAACACGATCAACATTCAAAGACCTAGACGTTCAACGGCTAATTATTCAATGAATTATTACAGTACTGGATGTCAAGCACCGGCGAAGACACTTGGAACAGAAGATTTAACAACAACAGGAACAACAACAATGACAACAACAACAATGGTAACAAATTACCATCAAGATCAAAGGAGGAGTCAACGAACAGAGGTTAAGCAACATGAAGCGAGCATGGGACCGATCGGTGTGGATGAGGAGAATGACACGGGGGACGACACTGAGGATGAGTTGGAAGATGAGACGGAGGACGAGGTTGCGGTTGGTGGAGACGAGGAATCGGATGGTGATTGTGATCATAAGAAGTCTGCCGTTTTTCTTCATCTGTTGTCTCACCCTAAGTGTCTGCAGGTGTATGATGATTTTAGTTTTTCTGTTCTTTGTCGTGCACGGTACGCTAGTCAGTTGAAAGTACTTGAGGCTGTTTGTATTCGTTTGCATAAGCCTGATCTTTGTAAGCAGAAGAAACATGTAGTTGCGTTAAGATTGTTTTCGTAGGTGCACAGCATGATTGTTTGTCTCAATACACAGTTCTAGCGTTGTAATTAGTTCCTCACCCCTGTTGCACTTAGCTCTCACTTCACTTCCATTGTCTCACCTTCCCTCATTCTATTTTAGCCCTTTGTTTTGTTCTCGTAACACATTATTGAATGTATATTAATCATTGATTCAGCATGGTTACTCTTCAGTCACGGGTTTCCACTGATGATTGTGACAAGAAAATCGATTTTGGTAAACCTTCATGACTTTGTTGTAGTGTGGCGATGACAGCAGAATTTGTTCTCTTTATAGCTATTATAAAATTGTTGTCTCCGCGTCGATTAATTAATTTTATTCTACTTCTTTCAGGTACACGCCTGAAATATAATTATTAGTGAAAGAAGAAGCGGCAAAAAAACTTTCCCTCCGGTGCAAACCTGGAGGTTGAATAGTTGTATTGTATTTATTTAAAAGGATTCTCCAAAAGCAAATGGATGCTTATCACGGAAGTCTCCCACATAAATATCGCAAGAAAAATGGGGAAATGGGGAGAGGAGAGTGGAAGATGAAGCATGGGAAGAAGGGAAACAAGTACCTAAATATCGAGGTATAAAAGCAGGAAAGAAATCGACGAGGGAAGAAATCACCTCTGCAGATAATAGCGGGACATTTAGATGAAAAAACCCAGCAAGGATTAATTTCAAGGAAAAAAAATTTCTCAAACGGAAAAGTTCGGAATTCCAGTCAGAGAATATCTATGCTGAGAGTAATGAGCCTTTAGAGCAATGCGAAAATTGACAGAGGACTGAACGCAGCGGATGTGTTCTGGAAGTTTGTTCCATTCCACAGATAAACTGAAGAGAGGGGATTTAAGGAAATGGGCGCCAGAACGAGGTAAAACTATAGAGGACGGGTGACGACAACTAAGGGATACATTGAATTTGAAACGAATTAGCAAAGACGGAAACTGGTAAAAGACATGATGAAAATACAGCAAGGACAGAATCTGACGACGCCACTTCAGGGATGACCAGTCACAAGTACGATTAAGAATCTGCTTCGGGGTTTCCCACTCAGGAGGGTGCCGGGTCTTACAAAGCAGATATGAACGAGCAGCAACGGCTTGCAGTCGGTCTAACGTAAGCGAATCTGAATGGGATACGGCGAATGACCAGACAGGGACTGCGTATTCTAACAGTGGTCGTACGTAACACTTGTAGAGCAAATTCACGGTTGAAGCTGAAAGGAAATGGGCCATATGGCGCAACAGAAAAACACGACTGCGAAACTTATGGGTGATAGATTTTATATGGTCAGAAATATTTAGTGAAGGAGTGATAGTCACGCCGAGATGACAGTGGCTATCACCTTTCTGAATAGGCACACCGTTCATTGTCAAGGGGGATGACGGGCCGGGGGCTAATGCATATTTTTGAAAGGGTAGGTGGACGCATTTACTGGTGTTAAACGTCATGGCAGTAGCTGATGACCATTGACAACACTTATCAATGTCAGTCTGGAGCAATGCATGATGGATAGGAAGTGAGGTGTTTGCTGGAGAAACAAGAATTAAATTAGAGTCATCAGCAAAAAGGGATAGGGTACTAGAAGCAGGGGCATCAGGAAAGGAGTTGATGCACAGGTTAAAAAGAAGCGGGCCGAGATGGGAACCTTGGGGTACGCCAGCGGTGATGGGCAAAGGGTCAGAAAGAGTTTGGCCAATGCGAACGCAAATACTACGATCACTGATGAAGTCCTTCACCCAAGAACAGGCAGAAAGAGAACACCAACCTGAAACAGATTGAATAACTAAATGATGACTAACTCTGTCAAAGGCCTTAGAAAAATCAAGGAACAGCTGGTCACAAGAAGACTTAGAGTCAAATGCACGCGAAACAATTGAGGTAAGCTGTACCAATTGGTCAACTGTTGACCTCTTTCGACAAAAGCCAAACTGGCTGGAACTGATAATTTTATGGCTCTCAACAAATGAGTAATACTGACGGCTAATCATAGACTCATACAATTTGGCAACTGCATTTAACAGCGATATAGGACGGTAATTGACTGGGTGAGAAGGATTACCTTTTCCCTTGAACACAGGTACAACAACGGCAGATTTCCACTCCCTGGGCTGAGTACTGGACAGCAAGCAGCGGTTGAAAAGGGCGGAAAGAGACTGTGATGTGACCTCAGCTATTTCACGGAGGATGCGATTGTTCAGCAGTCCAGCGGTTTTACGTTGAATGGGAAGTCTGGATAGCGTGTCAAATACGGACTGCACAGAGAATGGTTGTATGGAGAACTTCACAGTGGACGTGGGTGTTAAAATACCAGCTGAGTGCAGGTCAGGTGTTAGCAGTGGCGCCTGGCTGTAGCTCGCAAACACTTTGGC